ATCTGTTTGCATCTGTTTTATGGATTCCATTTGTTTCCTATGTTGGGATTCCATCATGTTTCTCAGCTCCCATGTTTCTTTATCTGTGTCCTCTCTAGATTTATTAATCGTGTCTTGCACTATGGGCCCAATCTCTGCTCTTATCTTAGAAATTATTTCTGATTTCATTTTTTCCAGATCATCTTTTGTTGCCAGTTTAGGTAGTTCAGGTGGTTGCATATCAGAGTGTTCCATCTCCTTTCCCTTTGGGGTTGCTAGAAGTGATCTGGAAATCTGGTTTTGAGACTTGTTTACATATCCTCTCATTTTGATGGTGTGGGGGTTCTCTTGGCACCCACGTGGCTCACCTCCTCTGCACTGGGAGTGGTGGAACAGCAGCCCAGAAGCCCCTTCCTCTGGGCTAAATGTGAAGATTCTTAATAAGCTGTAAGGACAGCCTTCTTGACATAGTGAAATTATTGCAAAAAACAATGGGACAACCAGAGAAAAAAAGTGAAGCTCATTTGTGATAGACAAAATTAACTTGATAAATTCTGAAGATTCTTTTTAATATTAAATTTCAATGATTTTTTTGAAAATTGATAGCATTACATTGGTTTTTCCTGTTTAAAGCTGTAATAACCCAAGAATCTTATGGTGAATTCAGTTTTCCATTACTGGTCTATTTATAGGCTTGGTTACAACTGCAAATATGCTACTAGATTTTCAATTAAATTGACTGATTTGCCATAGCATTATCTTTTTATAGTTTCAATTTAAATGTTATAAAAATTATGATAGTGTAAGTAATGAATAATTGTCTTTTATCTGTCTTTACTCCTTACACTATGTAATAGTCTAAGTTTATATATAGAGGTAACAGTATATTTTAGTGATAATATAATCTTTGTATAGGAAAATAATAATTCCTAAATTTGATTTCCTTGGGGACACATGCATGGCTTATTTGGTTCAGCTCTTTCTGTTTTATCTGAGCACATTCTAAGAATAAGTTAATGTGTTCCTTCATTTTAATTAACAAAAGACTGAAATTTCCGTAACCTACAGACTTGATAGGATTGGTGGTTATGATCTTTGAAGTATACATTCACCTAGCTTACTGTTTTATTAGCTGGAAAAAGGTTTATAGATTTAAAATAGTGATAGAAAAAAAAAAGAAAAAAAATAGTGATAGAAAATTTCTTTTACATACCAAGGATGGCTGAGATTCACAATAAAAACACTACAAATAAGAGTAGGTCCAGAGTTTAGACATATGTTACAAGTTTTTACCAACTCCTCTGTGTATGTAAACTGTGATATATTCATAGTGTATAAGATTGATATTAGGAAAGATACTCATTCTAAGTAAGTACTTAACACATTAATAATCTATTAAAAATATAGAGCTCGTGAAAACAAACCTGAAATTAATAAACATTATTTAGATATATATTCTTAAAAAATTTGGGCAAATTGTTACCCAAATTATCTCAGTTTCTCCATCTCTAGAATAAGAAACATAGTAGTCTTTAATTTTCTGAGAATTTATTAAGATTGCATAAATAATACTTAGCACAGAACCTGGAATATAGTCAATATCCAATAAATATTAACTATTAACAGCATTAATAATTAGTTGATATTAATATTATGATATTAAGCCTAAGATTTATTATATTTCTTCAGTGAAGGAAATTAAAAATTTGTAGGAATTTTATGTTGGGATATTTTGCAATGGAATCATTTTCAATTTTCATTCTTAACATTCTTAATAGTTTAGTTTTTATATTTGAGTCAAAATAACTTTGCTTATCCTCAGTTTTACAATAATTTTTTTCTACAAAAGAAGTGCAATTGATGATCCCTTGTTATGTTTCAAAGAAGGAGTGCTATTCTTCAGAATTAAGGTATACACTTGTCATATGGACACCCTCACTGTTAAAGATCGCCTGAAGCTCACCACTCTTCCAATCTTCCCAAACTTGTCCAAAGTTAGCATTCTTTCCCTTTGTTATCAAAGTATGGTCTTATAATCTTCTGCTACTGGATTCCATAGGTGATGTTTAAGTGTACAGCTTCCTGGGCACCAACACAAACCAAATATATTAGAATCTCTGGAGTTGGGGCTCAGTAGGTACCATGTTTAACACATTTCTTAGATGGTTCTTAGCCATACTAAAGTTTGAAAAATTCTAATCTATCAAAACACAAGAAAATCCTTTAAGTTTTTCTGCCTTCTCTTTTTCATGACTAGTACCAGATGCCACTTTTTATTTTACAGATGACCAGTGTTTTTCCTCACAGATCAGTTAAATAAATGGACAGATTTTTCTGGCAGCAATTTTAGGGCTTCAAGCAAAGATCTGAGCATGATATAGTAGAGAAAAAATCATAAGAAATTAAGGGGACCAGAAATAAACTTTGTGGAAATGGGAAGGGGATCCAGAGAAAGAGGGAAAGGAAAAGGTAGGTTGGGGAAAGGGGTAATAAAAATAATAAAGATGACATATTATATATACCAATTCCCCAAGATGAATATAATTATTATGTATCACAAACAAATTACTGTGTTCCTCTGTAAAATATAGTAAGACTTTCTTGAAAAGTCTAATGGGTCTCCTTTCCCTCTCCCCTCCCTATTTCAAATTATCAATTATTTATTTTAATCATTTTCACCTTTATTTACAGTTTCAGTTTCTCACACTAGAGAAACTATTTGGTATTTAAACATGTGTGTCCTATTTATTTCACTTAAGAGTTTGACCTCGATATTCATCCATTTATGGCTCTTTTATCACTCTGGAAAACCCCAGGCATCACTTGGAATACTTCTTCAGTTAGTCTAGCCTCTTCAGCAGAAACTTCTCCCCTAAGGATAAAATGTGGGGGTTTTTTCATATTAACAGTGACATTTGAGGGAAAATAGTGAAGTATACTTGTATTTTAGCAGAATGTAGTGTTTTGTTCAGAGGGAATTTTTAAAAATTGATAGTAAAAGAACTGGTTACTTTTTGTCATTTAAACAACTATTTATCACATTTAAAATTATTTTTTTGTGTGTGTTACAGGAATCATGTTGCCTCCTGAAGGAAATGTAGATATCCCAGTGTTATTTGTACCCCGAAATATGACATTGTGCAAAACATTGGTCATTGTTCAAGTGATGAGAGCAAATGGGGAAAATTGGACTGTTGACAATTTTGATGAATTAGATACAGAATTTAAAAGGTAAAGTTTAAAGACACTGAAAAAAAGTGTTTTTTGTTTTTTTTACTAGCAGGCTTCTTTTACATATAACATATATACAATATAAAGCTCATGATTTTATACTCTGAGCTGCTGAAATTCATGTGTTTAGAGGAAGAATGTTATATAGAGATTTATATATATAATTATTAAATTGAGATTCAGAGTATTGAATAAGATTAATCTTAGGTGTCATTATCACTTAATCAGTCAAAGATATGCAAAGGAACTATTTTTTTGAGCAGTGTCTCATTATATAGCTTAGGTTGGCCTGAAACTCACTATGTCACTATGTAGTTCAGGCTGGCCTCAAACTTGTTGCGATCCTCTTGCCTCAACCTCCCAAGTGTGGGCATTACAGGCATATGCCACCACACCTGGCAGGGCATGCCTTTAAACACATAAAATAATGACGAATAAGACAATAAGTAATCGATATCCTAAACATAACCAGAAGTTTATTTCGAGAAAAAATATGGGCCTTGTAATGTCAGAATTCACTAAGGGATGACAGTGGCATTGTGCCAAGAGAATATGACATTTTGATGAAATATTGCCATGACCAGGGAATGTTATGTTATTGTCAGAATGCAGGTAGGTTTTACTGTCCTTACTTAGCTGAAATTTAAAGAAACTCTAACAATGGAGCAAAATTTACATGCTTTTTCTTATCTTAATTAAATCTTAATTAAAATAAATTATTATTTTATCTTACATTTGCAGATTTATTACCTACATTTGATTTTTTACTACGTTGTATCCATTCTGTCAGGCATTTCACCACTCTTATCATGGCTGGCTACATAATTTGTGGATCCTAGTAAAACATGGGAATGAAGAGGCTCTTCCTAAATAATTATCAATAATTTCAGGACAGTTGTGGTATCGCTTTAAGCAAGCATCTAGCCTTTCTATGTGTGGGGTCTTAGAGTTGCATAAGTCATGTGCATAACTGGTCCTTACTGCAGTGTCTTACATTTTATTTTAACACGAAAATTCCATCTTCAACAACGATCATTAACATTTTCTAGTATTGCTATCCTCCTGATGGTGTATGATGAAGCCAGAATAATTAAACACTCTCTTTATTTTAATTGGTTTATCCCTAAAGTAAATTCCTCATCACTTTCTGAAGCCCTATACTTCATGAGATACTTTGTTTTGTGCTTTAACTTTCCACTTTAAAATATAATCCATAAGAAATATATTACCTCTCATCAGTCATAATTTAGTAAGATTGATAAATCCAAGTTCATCCTTTAAAGTTAGAGAACAAAAGCTCCTTAATTTTATCTTACATCTCCTGATGTTTTTCTTTGTCAAAAATTTCCAGAATGTGCTTTAAAATTTTTATAAAATCAATATTTACAACAAATGTTTTCTTCTAATTCAAAAACATTACCAAAATACCAATAAATTAATAAAGAATAAATTTTTCATGCTAATATTGAAAGTGTTTCTCTTTTTTGTTCACTCTTAATAATTTTTAATTAGAATTATGGGAATAGACAAAGATGAAATCCGAGGAATACACTGGATATATCCTATTATTGGACTCCCACAGGCACCACTCCCTAAAATTCCTCCAAGTAAGTATATTTTAGAGGAAAAACAAATCGGGATTCTATGAAACCTTAGACATTCTGTAATTGTATTCCTTCTTTATACTGAGAAGAAATGTGAGGTCCAGAGAAAATAAGTAGAAAAAGATTAGCCCTATTAGTAGGAATGCTGGAACCTGAGCCTCTCTCTCTCTCAGTGAGTCTGCTGACTTTTGCAGAAAACTATATTTACTTTTGCCATTCTGTAGTGAAACACAGATATCAGCTCAAATTGAAATAAAATGACTTCATTCCCATCTATTCCACAGAGCCAAGCAACTAGAAATGTAAGATTGCCATGTACTTTTATTCCTGGGTCACTTTTCATCATCATATTACAGTTCCTGTGTAACTCTCAGTCTCCTCTAAGAACTATTCTGTGAGGACACTAATTCATTTTTCTGAGTTGTCTAACACACAGAACAAACCTTTATGACATGCCCCCAAACCAGTCAGAATAAAACAAACTATTCGGAGAGGTTTACTTTTCCAAAATGTACAAAACATAGTATCCCACCCTTGAATGCCTTTGTTTTCCGCAGTGACCCTTTTCTGTCTCTTCGCACCACAGGCTTTCCTCAAGTTTCTATGTGTTTGCTTTTCTCAATACTCTTCCCACTTCTTTTATATTCCTTGACTCTCCTATTTTCTTCAAAGGATCAACCTAGAAATGAAATTGCACTTAGGTAATTATATAGATATATTTAACATCCCAAATATCTAGTCATAGTTCTTCATTACTAACATGGACTGCATTGCTCTGAAAATCAAAGGGCTGTTTCAGATCTCTGCCTTGAGAAACACAGATGAGTTTTTAAGTTTTGAAATTTTGCTTTTTCTTTCTCCCTGCAATACTAATCACAGCGTAGGAAAAGAATTAGAGTTCCAGGCTAGGGATGTGGCTCAGTGGTAGAATGCTTGCTAGTGTGCTTGAGGGCCTGGGTTTCATCCCTAGCAACTATACACATAAAGACATTAGATGTCCATTGACATACATTACATCACTATACTTAGAAAATGGAGAAAGCAGTAAGTTTTGCTTGTAAATAAAACATTTCTCAATATACAGCGGTTATAAAGAAAGGCCAAGATGACATATTTCTTTATGGGTGTTAATTTTAACTTTAGTAAAAATCCACATAGTACTACCTTTGAGACAAAATGTCATTTGTTTTACCTGAATTAATTTTACTCTTTTTTTTTTTTTTTTTTTTTTTTGGTACCAGGGATCAAACTCTGGACCTTGCACTTGTGAGGCAGGTGGCAGAACCACTGAGCTAAATCCCTGGCAGTAATTTTACTCTTGAGTTGAAAAATTATCAACACATACATAAATATTTCAAGTATACTAACTTCAGAATATTTCATAGGCATATCAAAATGTTTCTTTTTATTTCAGCCTAGAAAATAGTTGATTGCATATTTTTGAAAGAATTGAGCTGTTTAAATTTCATAATACACAGCCAGCTGATCAAACTGATGCAATAAAACTTAGACATCACTGTTGGAATTCTAATAGTAGTTTCATTTGTACCTAGTACAGACACAGTATTTTTTTTTTTGGCCATATTAATGACTTAAAATAGAATTTCTCAGGCTAACCAAGGCCTATAAGAATATAAAAATAAATATCTCACATATTTTTCTTCAAAGAAATTTAAACATGCTCCAGAGCATTTCATTTGAGTCACTTTTCTAGACAATTACTTGATTTTTAAATTAGATGTGAATTCTTTAAATAACTTATGTTTCATTAGTACAACCAAGTAGCATTGTCAGTTCTGAGGTAATGTGCATATTTCTTATTAAACAATTTTACCAAGAGTGTAAAATCTGTTGGAAATCACTTTACAAATGCCTCTTGCAGACAAATAAGTGAACTTTTTACATACATATTATTTTTCTGTACAGTTCATTTTTCTTTCTATATGTAGTCTCTGATTAGAAAAATCTACTATTTTTCTTGTTCAAGTTTATCTCTGACAATCTTATTTCTTTTATTTTTCTGCATCTATCACTCACATTATTTGCAAACCCAGGATCTTTTGTTGTTGTTTGTTGTTGTTGTTATTGTTTTGGGAGTCACGTTTTCTCTTTGTGCATTTTTATTTAATATTGTCCATTGGGGCAGATAATTGGAAAAAGACTCTACTCCTTGTCACACTGTGAAGACAATGAAAAGTAAATCTGTTGCATTTTAGAGAGACTTGCACTGCCAGGGCACTAATTTCCTAAGGACTTTTCCATAGAACAGGACCAGTGACAAGATACCAATTTTACTTTCTTTTTCATTAAGTTTATTGGTACATTTTAGGTATACAGTACAGTTACATTCATCGTTGGGATCTTGTACCTTTACATGATGTATATTGGTTCTTATTTTTCCCCCACTTCCCTGCCCTCCCTTCACCCCCTCCACCCTTCCCTATTTAAAGAGACTCTGTTTCCATATTTTCCTTTTCTTGTATTTTTTCTTTTAGCTTCTTTCCTTTCCACTACCCTTCCCACTTCCCCTACTCCTTTAGACCTTTTCTTCCCATTTCACATTATCAATTATACCATTTGAACCTTATTTACACTTTTAATTTTTCACACCAGAGAAACTATTCAGTATTTACACATGTATTTCCTATTTATTTCACTTAAGAGCATGGCCTCAATGTGCATCCACTTAGCTATAAACATCTCTAGTTTCTTGTTCTTTATGGCTGAGTAGTACTCCATTTTATTTAAAAAAAAAAAAAACACATCTTTTTCCACTCTCCAGTTGGTGGGCAACTGGGCTGTTTCCAAGTTTTAGCTATTACAAACTGTGCCGCTATAAACATGAGTGATCATATATCATTGTGGTATGATTCTTTTAATTCTTTTGGGAAGATACCCAGCAGAGGGACAGCTCGGTCAAATGGGACCTCTAGTCCTAGTTGTTTGAGGTATCTCCATATTGATTTCCACAGTGCTTGCACCAGTCTGCACTCCCACCAACAACGGAGAAGGGTTCCTTTCTCCCCAGAACCCCACCAGCATTTGTTATTGGTTGATTTCTTGCTAGCAGCCATTCTTTCTGGGGTGAGGTGGAATCTCGGCATTGTTTTCATCTGCATAACTCCAATGACCAGTGATGATAAACATTTTTATTTGCTGTTTTTACTTCTTTGTCTGAGAAATATCTGTTCATTTCAGATGCCCATTTTTGAATTGGGTCTTTATAATTGAGGGGTCTGATTTTTAAAAATTTCTTTATGTATTCTAGATAGTAGACCTTTGTCTGAGGAACAGCTGTTAAAAATTTTTTCCCACATTGTAGGTTGTCTCTTAGAAAACCACATCCAGGATGGTGGTTTCTCTGGCCATGCAGGAGCTTTTTTAATGAAATGAGATCCCAGTTGTTGATTCTTTGTGCTAGTTCCTGTGCTACTGAGGATTAGTTCATGAAGTCTTTACCTATGCCAATGTATTTGAGAGTTCTACCTACCTCATCTTCCAGCAAGTTTAGTGTTTCTTTTTTAATATTTAGGTCTTTAGTCCACTTCCATTTTAGTTTAGTAGTTGATGAAAGATAGGGCTCTAATTTTAATCTTCGGCAGGTTGAAATCCAGTTTTTCCAACACCGTTTATTGAAGAGGCTATCTTTGTTCCAGTAAGGATGGTTGGCTCCTTTGTCAAAGATAAGGTAGCTGAATATGTCTGGGGTTGTTTTTGTATGTTCTAATCTATTCCACTGATCCTCAGGTCAGTTTCTTTGCCAGTACCATGCTCTTTTTGTCACAGTAGCTTTGTATTATAGTTTGAAGTTGGGGATTGTGATATCCCCTGCCATGTGTCTGTTGCCTAGGATTGCTTTTGCTATTCTAGGTCTCTTCTGGTTCCAAATGAATTTTTGGAATGTTTTCTCTAGTTCTGTGAAATACACTGTTGATATTTCAATCGGGATTGCATTGAATCGGTACAGCAATTTTGGAAGTATGGCCATTTTCACTATGTTAGTTCTTCCTACCCAGGAGCAAGGGATGTCTTTTCATTTTCTTATATCTTCTTCGAACTCTTTTTCCAAAGTGCTTTGCACAGTGTAGAGGTCATTTGTCTCCTTCGTTAGATTGATTCCTAGATACTTCATTTTTTTGGATGCTATTGTTGGAAGAATTGTTTCCCTAATTTCTCTCTTAGTGAGTCTGTTATTTATGTACAAGAAGGCTATTGATTTTTGTGTGTTGACCTTGTATCCGGCTACTCTACTCAGTCTGTCAATTAAGTCTATAGAAGTCTTTTGGCAGAGTTTTTTGGGTCTTCTTTATACAGTATCATATCATCAGCAAATAATGATGCTTTAACTGTTTTTTTTTTATTTTCCTATCTTTATTCCTTTTATTTCTTTCTCTTGTCTAATTGCTGTGGCTAATGTTTCCAGAACTATATCGAACAGGAGTGGTAATAGTGGACATCCTTGTCTTGTTCCTGATTTTACCATGAATATTTTCAATTTTTGACCATTTAGTATGATGTTGGCTGTTGGTTTTTTATAGATAGCCTTTATCAGATTGAGGTAAAGACCTTCTATTACAATTTTCTGTAGGGTTTTTACCATCAATGGGTGTTGGATTTTTTCGAATCCTTTTTATGCCTCTAATGAGATGACCATAAGGCTTTTTTCCTTGACTCTGTTAATGTAGTGCATTACATTTATTGATTTATGTATGTTGAACCATCCTTGGATCCCTGGGATAAATCTCACTTGGTCAATGTGTATGATGTTCTTGATGACATTCTGTATTCTGTTCGACAGTATCTTGTTGAGGATTTTTGCATCTATGTTCATTAGGGAGATTGGCCTATAGTTCTCTTTTTTGGTTGGGTCTTTGCTTTTGGAATCAAAGTAACACTTTCTTCTAGGAATGAATTTGGAAGTATTGCTTCCCTTTCAATTTCATTGAAGAGTTTAAAGAGTAGTGGCAATAGATCTTCTCCAAATGTCTTGTAGAATTCAGCAGTGAAGCCATCAGGACCTGGGCTTTTCTTTGTTGGTAAAGTTTTAATTACATTTTCAATTTCACTCATTGTAATTGGGGTGTTTAGACTTTTTATATCTTCTTTGTTCAACTTCAGTAATTCATATGTATCTAAGATTCTGTCCATTTCTTCTGTGTTTTCCATTTAATTAGAATACAGGTTCTCCAAGTTGGTATTGATGATCCTATGGATTTCTGCTGGATCTGTTCTGACTTTACGTTTTCTGTTCCTAATTGCATGAATTAGAGACTTTCCTTTCCTTTTTTTGATGAGGTTGGCTAAGGGTTTATTGATTTTATTTATTCTTTTGAACAACCAACTCTTTGATTTGTTGATTTTTTTTGTATCATTCTCTTAGTTTCCATTGGATTGATTTCTCCTCTGATCTTTATAATTTTCTTCCTTGTATGACCTTTGGGTTTGTCTTGCTCTTCTTTTTCTAGAAGCTTGAGAATCAGCATTAGGTTGTTTATTTGAGCTCTCTCTGTTTTCCTAGTATGGGCATTTACTGCTATGAACTTCCCTCATAGAACTGCTTTCACTGTGTCCCATTGGATTCCTGCATGTAGTACTGTGATTATCATTTAATTGTAGAAACTGTCTAATTTCTTCTTTAATTTTCTCTGTGTCCCATTGGTTGTTCAGGAGGGTGTTATTCAATTTCCATATTTGGGAAGTTCTTGCAGTTTCTTATGCTATTGATCTCCAGTTTAATTGCACTACGGTCCGGTAATATACAGGGGATAACTTCAATTCCTTTGCATTTACTTAAACATGTTCTATGAGCTAGCATGTGGTCTATTCTAGAGAACGACCCATGTGCAGCTGAAAAGAATGTGTATTCTGATATTGTGTGGTGGAACACTCTGTAGACATCCATTAAGTCCATTTCTTCAAAAGCTTGTTTCAGATCTATTGTTTTGTTGTTGATTTTTTGTCTAGATGATCTGTCTATTTGTGACAGTGAGGTATTGATGGCCCCCACTGCAATTGTATTAATGCTTATTTGTTTTTTCCTGTCAATTATTATTTGTTTTGTATAGTTGGGGGCATTAGTATTTGGCGCATATATATTTATGATTGTCATCTCTTCCTCTTGGATTTCTCCCTTTAAAAGGATGTAGTGGCCTTCTTTGTCTCTCTTAATTAGTTTTGATTTGAAATCTACTTTGTCTGCAAATAAGATAGCTACCCCCACTTTTTCCCGGGCTCTTGCCACATGGAGAACTGATTTTCATCCTTTTACTTTCAGTCTATGAATTTCTTTGTGAACTAAGTAGGTTTCTTCTATACAGCATTTTGTTGGAGTTTGCTTCTTTATTCATTCTGCCAGTCTATTTCTTTTCATTGGTGAATTGAGACCATTAACATTGATGGTTATAACTGATATGTATTGACCTATCCTTGTCATGTTATTTTCCTGTTGTTGCCTCTTTCATTTTTTAATTTTTGACCTCTCCCTTTAATTTCTTCCCTTGACTGGTGGATTTGATCTGTTGGGCCTTACGGAGTTGTGACCTTCATTGTCTTTTTCCAGGATATTGTTTAGAATTGTTTGCAGTGCTGGTTTGGTATGCATGAAATTTCTCAGGTGTTCTTTTTTTTGGAAGTGTCTTATTTCCCCATCAACTTTGAAAGATAGTTTTGCAGGATACATCAGTCTGGGTTGGAAGTTGTTTTCTTTTAAGGTTTGAAATACCTCACCCCAGTCTCTCCTTGATTTGAGGGTTTGTGTTGAAAAGTGTGCTGTGATTCTCATGGGCTTTCCTTTCCATGTGATTTGCTTCTTTTCTCTGAATGCTTGTAGTATTTTGTTCTTCTATTGGGTTTCTGGGATCTTGATTATTATATGTCTAGGTGTAGAATTTTTTTTTTATCATGGCTAGTTGGAGTTCTATATGCCTCACTCATCTGTATGTCAAATTCTTTTGCTCTGTTTGGGAAGTTTTCTGTCATTAATTCTGTGAACAGTTTTTTTATGTCATTTGTACTATCTTCTGATTTTTCATGGATTCCTAGAAGTCTTATATTATTCTTCTTTGCATCATCTAGGAGTTGCTGAATTGATTTCTCATGGTCCCTTGCTATTTTTAAGAGATCTCTCTTTTCATGGTCACTGACTGCCATCCTGTCTTCTATATCTGTTATTCTATCTTCACATTTGCTCACTCTGCGCTGCTCTGCACCTGTACTCCTCTGAGCCAAAGGGGCGCCACTGCTCCTCTGCACCCACAATTTTACTTTTGATCATACTAATTTCTAATCTAATGCTTTAAGACAGAAGCTAATTATTACCAGAAAAGCTTATATATTTTCCCCCATCATTTCAACTCAAATCTAAATGTGTACCCTTATTGTGCATTCCTCTTAATTATGCATAAAGAAGCAAACTCCAACATTATCTAAGGACATCAACTAATTTGGTAATTTATGTGATAATATTAATGTCAAAAAAGAGTATAATGCATTTGAAACGTTTTTATATGGATTCCCTTTTTTGTTGTATTCAATTTATATTCTATCTTTGTTTGACCTGATAAAAGTTAAACATAATATATTTGGGAGAGATAATATTCTGGTTTATGTGGACTCCAGTACACATGGCCATATAGTACTACAGAACTAACGCAAAGAATGTATTAATACTCCTTTATCTAATTAGTAATTGT